TCTGGAGAAACTCTCCGTTTCTCTGCACTAAAGGACAAAGTTGTACTTATTGAAAATGTGGCGTCTCTCTGAGGAACGACAACCAGGGACTACACTCAAATGAACGAGCTTCATTCTCGCTACTCCGCCGAAGGTCTCGTTATTTTGGGTGTACCCTGCAATCAGTTTGGACATCAGGTACAAAGCGTGTTTGTTTTTTACTTGAGAGAGAGAGAGTAATGTTTATGAGGTGACCGAAACTCCGGACTAGCCAAATCCAGGCCTAGCTTCCTTATTCTTGACATGTGAGAAATATGACCTAAGAGCCGTCCGTATTTTAGTAACACAAGTTTACAGACATGCGTGTGTGTGTTATCAGTCTGAAATGAAACAGTTTTAACTTTAGGAATCTTTTACTTCAACTAAAGTGGGCCGTAAGTGTTCAAATACATGTGAAGTGTCATATTTAAAAAAAGTAATATATTACATGAAGTGTCTTATTAAAAGTATTCTGATTGTTACTAAAATATTAGCAAATTATCAGTGTCAAAGCAACATTTTAGCTTGCATATTTATAATATTTATAAGCTCCTGGTATGACAATGCTGTTAACAATATTGATTTTTATATATAAAACAGCACATTATTTTCTAATATCCTAAATTTTCAAAGATGTTCTATGGTAAATATGAATCTGTCCAAATACCATTCTGTCGGATACATTTATCAGGTTCATAAGCACGATTATTTACTGCTAAAATGTCATGAACCAGAAAAATACAATACAAAGTATAAATTAGCGAATAAATCTCAAATACAAATACACCTGCCTCTATAGTGCACCTAAGTACTCTAGAGGAAATGTAGGTTACACTACAATTCCTCTTATTTAGCTTGTTTAATTGAAACCCCACTTTAATGTCTACATCTATCTAACAGTGCTTGTGTTTTGGTGCAACAGGAGAACTGCAAGAACGATGAAATCCTAAGATCTCTGAAGTATGTCCGTCCAGGGAATGGCTTTGAACCAAAGTTCCAGCTCCTCGAGAAGGTGGATGTGAACGGAAAGGATGCCCACCCCTTGTTTGTCTATCTGAAGGAAAAACTTCCATTCCCCTGCGATGATGCCCTGGGTCTCATGAATGATCCAAAGTACATCATTTGGAGTCCAGTGTGTAGGAATGACGTATCCTGGAACTTTGAGAAGTTCCTGGTTGGTCCTGATGGGGAACCCTACAAGCGCTACAGCAGAAATTTCCTGACAAGTGACATCAAGGCAGATATTAAAGAGCTACTTAAGAGACTCAAATAAAGTGTGCTGGGAAATTTTATGGGTGATTTAAAACATAACAGTTCAGAAAGATCAGTCAGCACATACACATATTAGGATAATTTGTCATGCTTTCAGATCTCAAGTTCCAAAAATGTTGTAGCAGGCCTGGGTTTGTTTGTGATATTTTAAATGACATCCGCTACTGGATTGTTCAGCCTTTTAACTCAATGACGACACTCCTTTAAATGTTTTTGTGTAGGGGTTTCTGATAAAAATGTAAAAGTTTGACGACCATTGTGAATGTCTTTAATAAGATCGCAAATATTTTCACTTCCTTGACTTAAAAGAAGAAATAAATGTTATTATAATACTTGTGTTGTGCTCATTTCTTATTTGCAATGGTAATGGACAGGTAGATGGTTTACATCAGGCAGGAGTCTTTGTGGACTGCGATGTTCAGATGAGGCATTGTGCTCTGTAGTGACAGTAGGGAGCAGGGAGAGGTATGCGCTTGAGAGAAGAGGAATAGAAGTAGAAGCAAGACAGAATGAGATGAAAACAGGTGTAAGACTGAAGATGCAATGAGAGGTAGTGAAGGTGGATGAGTTTTAATACCTGGGTTCAACCATCCAAAACTATGGACAGTGCACGAGAGAGGTGAAGAAGAGAGTGCAAGCAGGGTGGAGTGAGTAGAGATGAATGTCAGGGATGAATTGTGACCAAAAAATAGCAACAAAAGTGAAAGGAAAGTTCTCACTACAAGACAGTATTGAGACCTAGTATAGTTTGGACATGGTGGAACTCCAAAAACAAAAGGAGGCTGAGCTGAAGGTGGCAGACTTGAAGATGCTAAGATTTTCATTGGGAGTGATGAGCTGGATTAGAAATAAGTACCATCATAGGAACAGCTCAGTTTCAGCAGTTTAGAGGAAACGTTAGAAAAGCAACTCTGAGGTGCTATTGACATGTTCAGAGGACACATAGTGGATATATCAAACAAATGATGTTGAATATGAAACTGCCAGGCAGGAGGAGAAGATGAAATCCTCAGAGGAGCTTCACGGATGAAGCGAAGGAGGACATACAAAGGGTTGGTGTGACAGAAAAGGATGTTAGGGATAGAGTGAGATGGAAGTAGGTGACCCGCTGTGGCGACCCCTAAAGGTAGCAACCAAAAGAAAAATTGTGTTGTGCTCATTTCTATAAAATACACACAAATATCCTTCAGAAATGTATGCAGGAAACTTAGGAAATTTCGGTAAATAGAATCTTCATGGGGGAAAAAAGTGTTGTATAATATTTTCACATCGACGCAACACTTTCCGGTACTTCCTGGGTGAAAGCAGAGGGATACTGCAACTCGTCCAACATGGCTGGCCAGGAAGATCCAGTGCAAAGAGAGATTCACCAAGACTGGGCGAATCGAGAGTACATAGAAGTAATTACGAGCAGCATCAAGAAGATCGCCGACTTCCTTAACTCATTTGGTAAGCTTTTAACAAACTAGCTGAAGTTAGCTAGTTCAGCCAGCTGTTAGCATTGATGTTGATGTTTTCAATGGCCACTCCCAGCTAGCAGTTAGCGCGGCTGTTAGCTGTTAGCTTGTTTTTGTTTTGGAGGAGGATTGTGACATTTTGAAGAGGAATCGGCTTACATTTTGCTCCAACTAGCTGTCCTTTAAGAGTCGGTCGTATTAATGAATTTATTAATATACCAGATTCGACAGACGATAGGAAAGCATTAGCAGGCTGCCGTAACCGCTAATGCTAGTGTTGTCGGGCAATATGTATGCGGATGTGCCCTTTAAACCTTTTTAACTCAAAATGACGGTGTGCATCTTTGTTAAGCAGCTATTGAAAAATTGATGACAATGTCATGCTTCGTTGTGGTAACCTCTAAACGTTCTAGTTTGTTTGTTTGTTTTTTAATTCTCCATCAGACATGTCGTGTCGATCTCGTTTGGCCACACTCAACGAGAAGCTGACAGCGCTGGAGAGGAGGATTGAATACATTGAGGCAAGGGTAAGTTAACTGGATGTAAAGTGCCTTTATTTCTTTGTTTGACTTTGTCTTTTTGTCAAGTAACCATACCCGTTACATAAACATGTCTCCTATTGTAGGTGACAAAAGGAGAAACCCTGACCTAGAAGTAGCCATTGAAACTCATAACACCCCCAACCTACCTGCCATCTCTCACCCTGAAGTTTTGGACTAAGTGTGATGGACTCCACCCTCCTATTTTTGGACGATGTGGACCTTTTTTTTTTTTTAAATATATTATATGGCTGGATTTTGTGTTATTTTATCTCATGACGCATTTGTACAGAAGATGTGTGTCTAACTTGGCTACCATTGATTCAAGCATCATTATATTCTATTACAAAACAAAACTAAGCTCCACTAGTATTGGTTTAAGATAAGTCTCGAGCACAATTATGATTTATAAATTTTGTATCACTGCAGTTTGACCATCTGTGTTGTGTACAGTGTCACTTCCAAATGAAAGCTGTATCAAAAGAGGAACATTTGCCTGTGCCAAGATGAACTATTATTGTGTACTTACATTTAATAAGGGCCTCCTTGTACAGCAAAGTGTTTGGTGATGTTTCTGAATTTAACTACTGTAATAAATTACCTTAAATAACATTGTAGCTGAACTTAACCTTTTTTCAACAGTTATGTTGCTATGTTGAAGATGGGTCTAGTTATGACTATTATGTAATCGGACAGACACACAATGTTTATACAAACTTGTAGTGTATATAGACTAGAGCTTGACATGAAACAACATATTAAATGGGTCAGATTGCTATTGTATGCAGGTTTTGGTACAGTTAGAAGAATTCATTGCAATGGCATTAATGTGTAACAAATGTTTTATGAATAATAAATCATACTTGCATAAAGAGTAATGTGCATTCTGGTTGAATTGAATTATTAATAGCGTGTGTTAAAAATAAAAAGCGTGGTTATAGCATGACGGTAACTTAATTATGTGTCCAGTAGAACATTAACAATTTTCAATTCCATGAAAAACCTGCAGGGAAATTCTAACAGCAGCGGGATTAAGCGCTTTCAGAACGCATCCATATACTGCTATAACGAAAACAGCCAATGAAATGGCGGAAATCTGCGAGATGTGATAATTTTGTCCTGGGTTTTCCCTCACAGGCAGCACTACGCTATATCCCTTTGTTGTCCGTCCAGGCTTTTCTACCCAACTGAGCACTCACTAAACCACCAAACGTTTTAAGAAAATAAAAGTAGCAACGCACATTTACTGTGAGAGGATACACAATTTATGGAGAAAAACAAACTCCACAAAGAAGGACTTTAGAAACCCAGGACTTTCTTATTATGAGACAAGAGTTCTAACAACAGTGCCATCATGCTGCTTCATCCTAGCTTGTATAGGTTATATAGGTTAATTTATCTTATCCACCATTTTTCCACTCAAACGTTTAAACCTTAATTAGATACTACTTTAAAGTCTTCTTTGCCAATGATTTGTTAATTTCAAGAAAACGAAAAAAACTAACCATGCTCTATATTTAAATACCAATAAACCTATATATACGCTTTGTTGCGGTTTTATGTTTTGTTTGTTATGATAATTATAACAACATGTAACCCCAGTAAGTCTTAACAACTAACTACGGAAGAGTGAGGAAAACAACCAGGCTGAGAGACCACTCCATGCCTGTAAGGCAAACTCGGGGCTGACTTTTCCATTACCCATAATGCACCGGGTAACACCAATGCATCTTGGGATAAAGAAGGTGCCATCGCAGATAAGTCTTTGGACGTGAGATGAATTTTCTTCTCCGCAATTTTTCTATTACCGCTTTGAAAAAATAATAGTGCGGGTGAAAAAAAAAACCCATCATAAAAGCTTACACTGGTAAGTTGCTTCACGGTCAGAGTTGAAACTAAAGCTTTCGCGGTCTCTTGTTTGCACCGTTGATTTTGGCTTAAGAGACGTCCGTTTGATGACGTCTAGCTCCATATTATGGAATGAAGAAAAAGGAGGGCTTTGGTTTTTGTTTCTCTCACGCCAAACGAGTTCACTCGACTACACGGGGAATTGTTATGTGTAAACGAGTAAAACCGCTACGTATATTTTTAACGTTTTTATTTCTGTTTTCTAGAGGTCGTGTGAGTGCGGAAGCTGTAAGAAATATGGGGGCTGACAAAAGGTGAGTAGCAACGTTAAATGCCAGTTCAGCTCACCATGGTAGGTGTGGCTTATCATAGTGGGAATCCTGTGTTTTTCCCGTTTCTGATACATGTTCCGAGTTTCGGGGATATGTTTAACCAAATAATATTCAAAAGCTGTGTTTAAACTGAAATGGCAGACAAAAGTAGCGGTGATTTCTACCAGCTTTTCCAGATATGTAAACCCTTACATGGAATTTATTTTTAAACCAAAAAAAAAAAAAAAGGCAAAATTTGTTTTCGTTAATACTACAGGTAAACAGTTTTATTGCCATCAAATTCTCTCGTAAAACGTGTTACGTAATTCGAATAAAAAGTTAGGACAATACAAGAATGTAAAAAAGTGATTATCTGCCAATGAGTGATTGCCAGTGTTGTTGTTTTGGGGGGTTGTTTTTGTTGTTGTGGATTTTTTTTTAATATGAGTAACATTTCTTGCCTATATTGGTGTATTGTACGTGCTTTTTTTCTACATTGCAATCAATTAAGTCACTTTCAGCCACTTTAACGTATCTTTAAAGAACTGATATGTTACATTTGTTGCAATTTCTGGTGCCCTCTCCGGCAGACATATTCCTGTCAGAAGGTAGAAGCTACAATCTTTCCTTTAAAAAAAAAAAAAAATACAGCTTAAAAGGAAAAAAAAACATGTCACAGCGATTGAAAATCTGACATTTTTCATGCACATGAATAAAGGATTTATACATTTCACCTGGCCAAAAACTGCTTCAATCAGGTCACAAGAATCGTTTTTCCAGTACAAAAAAAGGTCATCATTCACGTTAGAGGTGTTTCAGATATGTTTGACAGACTATCGGCCAACAAGTCACTTACAGCAGTTTGAATTCCAGCAGTTTTTTGGTTTTTTGGCATGACAGTGTTAAGATTAACTGAGATTGACAATGACAATGGAGTATGACAATGCATTGTTCAAGGCTGGAGTCATGATAAAACTAAAATGGTAACAAAGTGATTGAAATGTTATACATGTTGAACACTAAGGTGTGCTAAGTTGGTTTGTTTATTGCAGTATTAGTTGTGCTCCTGTTTGACTTATTTTTATTTTTATTTTTTTGTAATGTCCTTCTGAATAGGATTAGTCGAACAGAACGTAGCGGTAGATATGGTTCTGACCAGTGCCGTGATGAGTCTGAGTGGCGCGACAGACGTGAGCGAGACCAAGAACGTGGTGAACACAACATGCGCCGCTGGGGTGACGAGAGACGTGGTGATCGTTATGAAGGAGATCGCAGAGGATCACGAGAAAGCCCAGAGGTGCTTGTCCTAATAGCACTTGGGTTTTAATACTGCATTTGAAAAAACAATTGTCCAATGACACTTAGCAGCTGTTGTTGTTTTGTGTTAAAGCAAAGGGAGAGGAAGCGTCGTAACAGTGATAGATCAGAAGATGGTTATCACTCAGATGGTGACTACCAAGAGCAGGACTATCGAAGGGAACCAGGGGACGAGAAGAAGAGCAAGACCATCATGCTGGGGGGTCTGTCTCCTCATGTCACTGAGGATGATGTAAGTATTCAGTTGCACTGGTCGTGTGCACCCTTTTGTTCCTTTTCTTTGTTTTTATTGTGCAAGTACCTTTCTAAATGTATTAATGAATGAATGATTGAATTATGATGTTAAGCAGCCTCTGCATGTTGTTATTTAGATTCGTTTTGCCATTGACCAACTTGAGGGACCCCAGCCAGTGGATGTCAGGCTGATGAAAAAGAGAACAGGTGAGAACCAGTCATGTGACGGACTCCGAGCTTCCCCAAGTCTTTGACCATAGAGCCAATCTGCTTCCATTCAGACCCATTTTCCCATAGAAGTTAGGAGATGACTATATCAAAGTACTTGAAAAGGTTGTAAGAATATTGATTCAAGGCTTATCTTGTACACTGTGGAGCAATTTAAGGTAAGTAAGAGCAGCATTGATTGCTATGAGTAAGTCAGCTGGCAGACTCATGTTGATGTTGAGTGTGGTTCAAACAGTTGTATTCTGCAGGATTACTTGCTATGGTAAAACTCCTAAGGAGTGGGCTATTGTGTACCAATCTGGCCCTGGGTCGGGAAGCAGTTTGTGGAAGAGTTTGAATAATATGCCCTTGGACTCTTAACTAACACGCCTCCCGTCTATATTTGAATGCTGTCTCTAGGTATAAGCCGTGGTTTCGCCTTCGTGGACTTTTATCACTTGCAAGATGCTACACGATGGATGGAGACCAATCAGGTTGCTTCACAATCGCCAAGTCTAGTTTTAATCTTGGGGATCTGGAAAAATAACCCAAAAGGCAACCAGAATGTATTGAATACGTAGTGTGGAAACTGTATAGAGAAAAAAAAACTGGAAAAAACAAACTGAATACAATAGAGCAAATATAGAGATGATTATATTATTATTTACAATGTCATATTTTAATATATTTTTATAGTTAATTGTACTGGGTAATAAGCTTCAAGAAAAATTTCTGGTTTTGTTAAGTGATCTCTTTAAAAATCTGCATTTAGATTTGATGAACACACCATCTTTGCCTTGCAGATCATGGCTATATTAGTTATTTTCAGATTTCAGTGTAACCCCATTCTTTTTTTTCTTTTTTTTTCTTTGCAAGCTTACCCCAAATACTGGGAATTGTTATTTTTGTATTTTCTTAATCTTTTTAACAGAATTTTCTTCTGTTTTGTTTTTTGAGAAGCCCATACATTTTTTTCTTTGGAAAGCAGTCAGGAAAGTCTGTTAGGGTCACATTGTACACTTTGCTCCAGCTCAGCCTGGGCACTCGGGTCCCAAACACCAAAAGAACCCTCTTTACATCATGCTCACATACACGTCATGTGCCTGTCTGTAACTCAAAGGCTATCTGTTGGGGGTCCCTCTCCCCCGTCCCCTCTCCCTTCCAAAACTGCTTGCTCTTTTGATGAGACGAGTTCCCTCCATGAACACTTGGATGATTTTGTTCTCCTCTTTCAGAAACGTCTGACCATCCAAGGAAAAACCGTAGACATGCACTACAGTCACCCCAGAAACAAGTATGAAGACTGGCTCTGCAGCACAGTAAGTTAATGTCTCGGTTTCATGGTCTCATTATCCAACATTTTCTTCTAAAGAACACTGCACACACTTGAGATAGGCCTGTAAGCATCAAATTTTGCAATCCTGTCATCTTATTTTGTTGTACACCTACATTTGGATAAGTGGTAAAGGTTAGGTTGTGTCTTAGGTAAGTATGGTATGCAGTACCAATATAGTTGCCTGTTCTCTGAGGCAGCACTGTTCAGGGCTTTAGTAGGTGTATAATCAAAATGATGTGAACGGTTACTTGCAGTGTGGCCTGTACAATTTCCGGAGGAGGCTGAAGTGCTTCAGGTGTGGAGCAGCCAAAGCTGGTAAGTAGTTAAATCAACAAGAGGCCACTGACTGCAGACATCTGAGCAGCCTGAGTCCACAGGGCTGGGATGCAACACCAAGTTTGTTTCTGTAGCTGTGAGATGATGTGGATTTTTAAGGAATGTCACTCTGTCTAGTAAGGTGTATCAGTGCTAATTGGCCTGAATAATATAAAAGAAAACGTGAAACACAACAGACAGTGTAGTTCATGAAATGGGCACATAGTGTTGACACTATCTTTTAAAGAGATTTTTTTTATTTATTTTTTTTGGTTGCAGTCTCTCACTTCTGGAGGTTGTGTTAATGCACTTCTTACTTCTGTCTTTCTCTCAACAGAAAGTGAAGCGACCAATAACACTGGAGTTCCTGAAACTCAACCCAGCGGAGATTTCTATGGCGATAGTAAGAGTTTCTTCATTACTGAAGCAGTTTCATTTGCTTAGTTTCGAAGCAAAATATCTCTATTTATAGTATTCTTTCCCTAAATATCATCTTTTGTCCCATCAGCAATCATCCTTAGAAATATTGCTCCTATGACCACAGTGGAAGCCATCATGACTGCCCTGGCACCATATGCCAATCTATCATCCAACAACATTCGTCTTATTAAGGACAAGCAAACGGGCCAGAACAGAGGCTTTGCCTTTGTGCAGCTGTCTTCACCTCTGGTAATTCTTTAATATGTACAGATGGAAAAAGCTTTCCCTTTGAAAAAAGTTTTGTATATAACTTAACATATTATCAATCATTTTAACAGGAAGCATCTCAACTGCTAACAATCCTTCAAGGACTGCAGCCTCCCTTAAAACTAGATGGAAAAACAATTGGGGTGGATTATGCCAAGAGTGCTAGAAAGTAAGTAGTCCTCACTTGTTTTGTTTTTTCTTTTTTAAATGCAGGAATGGCCTCAGTATGGCTTTTTCTGGGATGCTTTCTAAATAACTGGTGTCACTAAAGAAACGTTAGCCATAAAGGTCGATGTAGCAAATGCAACAAAGCCCCATCTGCTCGCATAATTGTTGACATGATTTTGGTCTTACATATTCAAGTTTGCATTCCCTCGAGTTGTTTTAGCAACTCAAGACTGTCATAAAAAGATTTCACCACATTGGAAGACTTTACTAGAGAGTTGAAAGTGATGATTAGAGGTCTAGTTTGTGCCACCACAAGTTGCTGTGGTTAAAAGCAGCGAGGCTCTGTGGTTTAACTCCATCTATGCTCTTAACCCTTTAAATGTTAGCCTTAGGCTAACCTTTTCCTGGTTCCTCAAGTTGCCTGTCTTGATTCACAATATAAAGAAAGATTGAGTTTCACTCAAGTGAATATCATTTTTTTTCCCTTTTCTTTTTTAGGGACCTTTTACTCCCTGATGGAAATCGTGTCAGTGCCTTCTCTGTGGCCAGCACAGCTATCGCTGCAGCCCAGTGGTCCTCAAGTCAGGTAGGTCCTTTTTCTGTCTATCACCTTCCATTTTTGATATCACAGAGTCGTAATTGGTGTTTTCCTTTTCAGCCACAGCAGAGCTCAGAGGGAATGTCAGAGTACAGCTACCTACAGGAAGGTTATACTCCCATGTCCCAGGTTAGTAAGAAGAAAATTATGGTTACATTACCAAGACCTAGAAGGTAATTTCCGACTTCTCAGTATCAGTGAGATACAGCTCTGTATCATCATTCAGTGGCAGCTGTGTAACTCTACAGCCATTCAGAGAAAACGTGCGGGTGTATCTAATATAATGACATTATAAATGTACAAACACTTCTTCTTTTTTTTTTTTTTTTTTTTCTCCAGGATTATCAGACATACTACCAGCAAGGAGCAGCAATCAGCACCTCTCAGGGAAATGGAATTCTAGGAGGTAAAGAACTTCTAAACTCTGTTTAAAATATTGGTTCTGTAGCTAATTGTTCACTGTATCATTTTAACATTTGAAAATTAGTGTCTCCAATTTTTTTTCTTTATGTGGTTGTGATTAGACAAGACTACAAGCTGTTCTAACATTTGTTCACACTGAATTTATAGTTTTATGAGCTTCAGTTAAGCTGATATGTTTAATGTGGTTGTGTCCATCATTTTTGTCTGTATTCTAATAGGCATTTTGGCGTTAACAGGTAGTTAAGATTTTGAATGCGTGCACAGCGGCTGCTTTGCAAGCCACTGTGACCCTTTGCTCGGATTTATGTGTGTGCATCCTCAGAGAAGCGCAACAAATGCTAACTTACTGTTTCTAGAAAAAATTGTCAGAGATTTTCTGTAAACTTAAATATAATAATTGGACTTTGTTTGCATCATGATCTTGAGTTTTGTTTCATTTTTTTGTTTTTGAACTTACAGCTGCCCCGGGTGTAAAGATTGTTCCAACTGCAGTTGGAGTTGTGATATCACAGAACGCACAAGTCTACCAACCCCATATAATTGCACAGCCTGCTGTGCAGGTAATGTACACGGTTGATAATTCTGTAATAAGATAAATTTATAATACTGTGTAAGTTACTGATTTAACAATCTCCAAATAATCTTAAATAAACTGTTTATTGATTGTAGGCATTGCCACTTGCCCAACAGTTGGAGGCAAAACCCCAGGCTGGACACATTTCAGGAATTGAAGCTGCTTCTTTGCCAGCTGCTGCTTTAGCAGCTGCCACTGTTACCACTGCGGGGACATTAACAGCCTCTGAACAGGCGGCGGACACCAACATTGGTATGAGCACATAAGATCCCTTTAAACCAACACTGCTGAACTGTGACGTGCATAGAAACATGACAGTTTTCTCAAGGTCACTGTCATGTGTGTTGAAGTGTTTCTATGTATAGAACCTGGATAGAACTTCAGTCTCCAGCCTGTAGTTTAAAAGGACTGTGTTAATCTGTTATTCCTTAGACCTAACCAAATGTGCGGGGCATGATATCTGAGATTGTTTAATGTTGTACAGTGGGGCAAAAAAGTATTTAGTCAGCCACCGATTGTGCAAGTTCCCCCACCTAAAATGATGACAGAGGTCAGTAATTTGCACTTCAACTGTGAGAGACAGAATGTG